TTAACTAACACAATAAATTAATACCACTAAAGAAACACAATAAATTCGATAATACCTAAATAATTATAATAAAACACAATAAGAAAGTCATAAATATCAATAAAATATTAAAGTTTTTAGATTTTTATTTTTAAGAATTAACATATATATATATAAATACACACACTATTTATTACATGTGCATGAAGGTACAGAATAATAAAAAAATGGTCAACAATAAACATTTTTATATTCACTTCCAAAATCAAATCACAAATATAAATGAGAGATAAATAATTTTAGGCATCAGTTTTAGTGAGGGTGAAATGTGGTGGGGCGGCAATGGTGGTAGTAGGAAATGTTGATGGTTGTGATGTGTGACAATGACCATGGTGGTTGTGGTAGTCGTGGGTAGCAACAGTGACAATAGTAATGGCAGCCAATGTTATCAGAATCGGAACGGTCATCGAACCGGCAAGGGGACCAGGTCAATGATTCACTGGTTCAACCGTTAGGTCAACTGGTCGGACCGGTCATATAATAAAAAAATAAAAAAATATATATAATAATTATAAAACTTAATAATTTAGCTAAAAAATATAAAATATGTATAAAATACATAAATTTTGCCATAAAATTAATGAAATTAAGTAACAAAGTGGAGGTTATTGTATTTTAAAGCAAAATAAAGATGTTCAAGTAAATTATAAAGAAAAAGAAAGGGTGTCATTTATAATTTATCCAAGAATAAGGTTAAAAAAAATCAGTTATTTACTGATTTAGGGCAAAAAAATTTATTTATGTAATTTAATTTTTAAATAGACATTAAACCGTCCGGTTTTTATAAAATCGGCGGTTCACGATTTTTGTTAAAAATCGGCCAATTTTTTAATTTTTAGTCGGTTCGCTTCCTTAAGCGGTTCAATTAAGGAACCGGACTGATTAAGGTCCCGGTCTGGTTCTGATAACCATGGGTGACGGCGGTGGTGGTGGTGAATGTGAGTGTGGGTGGTGATGGGGTGACAGTGATGGTTGTTGTCAGTTGTGGTGGTGGGGCGACGACGATGGTGGGTTATGGTGGTGGGCAATGATGAGGGTGGTGGTGCACGACGACGAATGCTTTTAGGCGACAATATAATCGGTGGTGGCAAATGACGGTGGCGATAGGTGTGGTGGAGGTGGATGATAATGGGGTAGCGACAATGGTGGGCGGTGAAGGATGGTGGTGGTAGGTGTGGTAGGGGTGGGTGATTGTGGTTGTTGACGACGGATGGTGGTGGACAAACAATATGGTGGTGGCGGGTGGCGACGATAGTCATGAGATGATGATAGTAGTGGTAATAAATATAAGAATGAGATGACAATGGTGGTGGCAATAGTGGTAGTGGTGATGGTCGTGGGGCGGTGGGGGTAAGGGTGGTAAGGGTGATGGTGAGATGATAACAATGGTGCTAGGGTGACGGCAACGATTGTAGTGGTGGTGATGGGAGTGTAGTAGGGGAGATAATGGTGGTGGAACGGTGGGGGCGAGATTGAGGGTGGTGGTTGTAGGGATAGTGATGGTTGTTGTGGGACGGTGACGGTAGTGGTGGTGGGACGATGACGGTAGTGGTGGTGGGGTAATGGTTGTTGTTGTGGCAGAGATGGTGGTGATGGTAATAGGGTGGTAGTACTGGCGATAGTAGTAATGGTGATGATGGTGGTGTGGCAGTGGGTGTGGTGGTGTTGGCTACGTCGACAGTGGTGGTGGTGGGTATTGTGATAGAGGTGGTGGTGGGGTGGCAACGGTGGGGGTAGTGGTGGGGTGACGATAATGATGGTAGTGATGATGGTGGTGGCGGGGCTATGGTGGTAGTGGTGGGGGTGGGACAGTTCCAAGTATTATTTTTTTTTTAAAGTAGTTATAAGAAGTTATAAGTCCTTGAAATACTTTTAAAAAATTATTCCAAACACACCTTTAGGGGCCTATTTTCCTATTAAATTTAGAATGTTAATATTAGTCGTCTGATTAATTTTAAAGTAAAATTTAAAGAGATCTCAACCACGAATAGTAAAAGTCATTTTGTTTATTTTTTGAGATTTAAATTGTATTGTATTTTATTATATATATGTGCATGTAGAGTGGATAGGAATACGAAAATTTTGTATGTATTCCGCATTCTTACTCAATTTTTTGCAGAATACCAAAAAATTTTCCATTGGTATATTCGATTCTTTCGAGTAACCGATTAATAGAGTCAGATAGGATAGGATAAGATCAAAATTTACGAATAATCAAAAATTAGAACACCCTGCCAATAAGTATATTGAACCTTCTTTCAATCGGCTCCCCAATCTCCCAACAAAAATTTACGTCAAACTAGAATATTTGGTACAAAATCATAATCTACCAAGAAGAAAACGTTAACGTACCATGCTTAAGGTACAACCCCAAAGAATATTTTTTTTTGGGTTGGATTGAAGGGCAGAGAAAGGAGTAAATATTGGGTGTAATTGTGACACTACATCACTATTATCATGTTATATTATTATTTAATAATAAATTTATAACTAAGTAAAGTAATCTCTATTTTTTTACACAGAATAGTTAATTTTTTATAGGGTAGTTACTAAATTAAATGAAGTTTACAAATTTATAAAGTGAGTATCTCCAACGTTGACTTAAATTTTTATTCAAATTTGAGTAAAAAATTTGATTTGATACAAATGACTCCAATGGACAATATCAAATTTAAAGGAGGACGAATTCAAATTTAAAAAATGATAAACTCAAATTTAAAAGTGAGTGAAATATAACCATTGAATTTTCAAAAGAAAATGAAATCTCACAATTGGTGATTTGCGTAAAAGTTTGAATCTCTTTTAATTTGAGTAAAAATTTAAATCTTTCTTAAATATCTTTCCTCACCCCATTTAATTTTTTAATTTCAAACTATTAAACTCACGTCATCCATACCCACTTCAATAATAACTAAGTATATCCTATTAGTACATAAACCATTAATAAAAAATAAGCCGCTAATAAAAAAATACTAATATTCACATATATACAATATATGATATTATATATTCAAAATATTTGTAATAAAATAAAATAAAATATAAGAATAAAAAACTATTATTTAGAATGTACATTACAAATATAAACTATAGTACATGTACATGAAATAACCAATTTAACTTAAAATCAATACTTTTTACAAAAAAAAAAACTTATAATCAATACTAACATATATTAATTCATGTTAAAAAACCTTAAGAGGTTTAAGAACTGAAAAATTATTGTCCAGATACTTTTGGGTTGTATTTGAGATGGCTCGTTTAAGTTGCACTCAAAATCAAAACGAAATTGGTAATATTTATATACCATCGAAGAATAAAATAACATAAATATTAATAGAGAGACAAGAAATAAAGTTAAAAATATGATTAGACAACACAAATGTGTGTGAGATTGGATAGGAAGAGAAAACTTTGGTGGAAGAAGACATAGTTTATGCCTTTATGGTTAGAATGTACAATGAGTGAGGAAAAAATATGATAGGCTTAATTATTAATGGATATATATATATATATATATGGGGTTGACTTAGTCACCAATAAAATGAGTATAGATAGAATATTAAGTAGTTTGAAATTAGAAAATTAAATGTGGTGGAAAAAAATATTTAAAAAGTGAGAACTGCAGCATCTATTTAAAGTTGAATATAAAAAAAGGTAGCCTTCAAATGTGGTTTAGTGGTTAAGTTTGGTTTTTAGAAATTCATAAGTTTTAGATTTAATCATTTCTTATACCTCTTAAGGACTAATCTAATTAAAACCACAATAATTAATCACTGAACCTGAGAGAGTAGTCATCGAAAGTCTGTAAAAAAAAAGGTTAATTACTTATTACCTTCGTGTGATTTCGACTAGAAATACCTTACCTACTTGATGTTTAAAATTATACACATTACTCTTTTATAGTTATATACCTAAGTGAAGCGCTATTAACAGAATTAAAAAATTATCATAATACCCATATTTTTAAAATTAGATTTTTTGTCTGATTTACAATTGACCATAAAACAAATGGAATATGACAATAAATCAAGATATTTCAATTAAACTCATCGAGTCTCTTTTTTCTCTCAAGTGAGGTTTTGATCTGGGACTAAAAATCACTGATATTTTTATTACATATTTTTTTATTTGGGATCAATGTCTTACCTATTTGGATATATTATACTGTATATTATAAATGATATTTTAGGCATTTGAATATTTATTTTTTTTTAGAGGAAAACAATAGAAATAAAGTCCACAACATATTTTTGGACGTGTGGAGTACACTATTCATTAACTTAGATAATGAAAGTAACTCTTTTACTTTAATACATAAATATAAAGGGATGACGTGTATAATTTTAAGAGCAATGTTATTAGGACCTAATTCACTATGACCTTTAGATTAACTGTAGATTGCATCAAGCATAAGAATTTGATATTTATTTAATAATTTTAATAAAATCACATCATTAAATCAATAAATTATATTAAAATTTTAGATTAAAATAGCATTTTCCTAGCTTTAAACGTCAAATGAGTAAAATGTTTTTAACTGATTCGACGTGAAGTAAAAAATAATAGTTAACCCCAAAAAAACAAAAAAAAAAAGGGGGAAGAAGTAAAGATGCGGTGACACCACGTGTTACCGGTGTCATTCTATATTTTCTGGAAAGGAGGGTAGAATTTCAATCCACGTGCTATACCCTCTGTCTAGGGTTTCGCTGACAAAACCAAAACAAAACCCTTTCAACTCTTTATCACATACTATACAATCACTCCCACCTCTTATAGCTCACAACAACCGGCGGCACCACGTCAAAAAAGAACCACAACTGGTAAGCAATCGTCTCTCTCTCTCTCTACTACACGTTATCGATATCTACTCTTTCTCATTGCTCGGTGTTTTCTGGGGGTTTTGTGTTGTTGTTGTTGAATTCAGGACTGTGTCTTTCAGGTTGTGATTGTTCAGTATAATGGCTGGGAAGGAACAAGATAACCGTATATTCGTAGGAGGTTTGGCGTGGGACGTCACCGACCGTCAGCTTGAAAACGTCTTTAGCCGCTTCGGCAAAATTATCGACTGCCAGGTTTGGGGTTTTTTTCAATTATTTTTTTTTTTTGAAGTTTTAGGCTTTTAGCGATGTGAGTGGTTATTTTTCCTCCTTTTACCCTTTGTTTGTTTGCTGAGAAAATGCAGAAAAAGGAAAGAATTTTTTTTTACACTATATGTCTTTTTTTGTTGTTTTGGTTCTTGAACAGGTTAAAAAAACACGTTTTCAGCTATTCTAGTGAGTAGTCAAACCATCCTGACTTAAGATTCAAACCCATTTTTAGATGGTTTTATCCTTTAAATGATAGCTAATTTTCCATCCTGAAATGCACATAGAAAAATGAAAAGCAGTTGCACTGTGTCTGTGAGAATTGGATTCTTCCTTGAAACTTGAGGAGTATGAATACACTTGAATTTGGGGTTGGTTGACTTTAGTTCCAATTACAAGGCTTGAATTTGATGCTTCCAAACATTTGTAGAATTTTCATTTGGCTGTAAGTATGGTTCATAAAGTAGCCTATAAATTGAATATTAGTTCAGCGGAGTAAAGGCTATTTATAGTTTATAGAATGCGAAACTTTCTTTTTCTGTTTCTTACACTTTGTCACAGCCAAACTACTTGTTATGGGTATTTGGATTTGTGTTACATAAAATTGGGGAATGAATATTTTTCTGTGTAAAAAATTGTTGTGATTGCTCTTTTCACAATTTTTTATTAGAAAGATTTGTCTTAGTTTTTGCTTTTATTTCATAATATTCTCTTTCATTTTTACCCTCTCATCATTGTACTAATTGACTTTTTTTGGTCTGTTTGGTATGCTGGTTCTGATCTTTGAAATGCCTTAAATGGTTATTTTAAGGAGTTATGGTGCAGATGCATTGAATCGAGTATCTGAGCTCAGTGCCATTTATTGTGGTTACACTGTGTTCTGCTGTTTGTTATGAGATTGTAATTTGTTGAGGTAACCGCGATAGATCTGGCCTCTGGAGGCACAACGTAGTTTCATGGAAGGCAGTGAGAAACGCCTGGTTAAGCACATCTGCGGTTTGATTGGTAGGTTTTTTTGGAAAGTTTGTGGTTTGAGATCCATAAGAGAAGACCGAAGTAGAGTCTTGGATGTGCTCTAATCATGAAAAGGTGGAATAATCAACAAGTTACATGATGCAGCAAACTTCAAGTTGCCTTTTTTTTTTCCTGTCTCGTTAGGAATATCTATTTTTTGTGAAAGATGTGGGCTTTTATTTTGGATAAGGAGGATAAGGACTTGAAAAATAGGGATTCATACATCTTTGATCTAGAGACATGGCATCATCAGTCATTTGAAGAATTTTGAATTACTTAAAGTTGAGTAGGCAACAATTTTATGAATGTTAATTTCTACGCCGACACATGATGGGGAAGGTTTGTTGTGTCCGTGATGAGAGGCTTCAAATTCCTGATGATGATGTGTGTTACGTAGCGATTAGGAGTTACATAGATGTTGATTCAAAGTCAGCAATCGTTATGCAATTTGATCTTTTACAGAATCCAATGTGTTGATGTGGTACATGAAGGTTTTATATACTAGATGACATGCCTGGAGTCTTCTTCAATGCTGTTACAGCATTATCTTCATTGATTTGACCAGCATCAGAACACGTTAAACGGCAGTAAAATTTCATGCACAGTGCCTGATTGCTCTTGAAAGTGCACGAGAGATTCAAATCAATTCCATTTTTTTTTATATTTTCACTGGAAGTCTGCATTGAATTCCCAAGGTTCAAAAATTCCAGATACTTCGAGTGCTAAAGGTTTTAAGTGCTTAAAACTCATCCTCTTTTGGATGGTTATGAAAACCATTTTTTCGCCACCAATTTTCTGCAAATGCTTGTCTGCCATTTCCATACTGGTGTGTGTGATTACTTCTCTCCTGCATTTCTGTGTCATCAAGGAAGATAGTAGTGTTGAAACACTAAATAGTTTGGTCTCCATAAAATGATTTTATAGGATGAAGATAGCAATGGTTGATGTTGGAGAATTATGTCAAGATGTTACTCATTGCTGCTTTAGAAATGTCCCCGTGGATTTGTCCTTTTTAAAAGTAGAACAGCTAAGGTAGATATACTGGTGCAAGTTTCAGTTGTACTTGGCCAGTGGGGTGGGGTGCTCTTTCCTGTCGCATCTTCCTATCCTGGAAAATCTTGCGCCGTATGTATAATGATCTTGAGCTGTCCATGCTTCAGGGGTTCATTACTAGATTGTGAAGCTGGTTTCCATCCAATTCAGTTCATCTGAATTGCATTTTGATGGTGTGGATTAAGTAAAGACCGAGTCGGCTGTGCTATATTCATGTGCTTCTTTAATGTCTTAGAAACCAATGTTGTCAATGGTGAGACTTTCAATACAAGTTAAAAGAGTAGAGCTCGAAAAATTTGTTCTTTGCCTATCCCTAGAATGCCGTATCTGCTCAATTTGGAGACTGGATATCTAAACTGTATCAGATCATATTTTGCATCATGTTCTTATCTTGTGAGTGTGTTCTTCTCAAGGGCAAGGGCACACATCTTTGAGCACCAACAATTATCGAAAGATGGCCTGTATATCAACAGTAGCCTCTTATATTAGTTAGCACAAAGTTGGTGACTTCTTTTCTTCCATTATTATCTGCAGAATGCATGTAGTGGATTTACGTATGTTTTGTAAGGGTGCTTTTGAGTCGGGTTCAATTTTTGGGTTTATATGAGGTCACATACTTGAGTGACTACATGGGCCAAGTGGTTGTTTCAGGACTGCATTTCTGGCTGTATTTTGTGGCTACCAAGCCAGTTGATCCGGTAAGGTGCCGGATTAGGTGACAAAAATTTGGAGGAAGGATGGGCATTATGTTGAAATGAAGAAGAAATGTATCTGGTAATTGATAATCTGGAACAAGAGAAGCGTATTTTCACCAGCAGAGATTGTCATGGAAATTTTGTTCTGCCAGATAACCCCCATATTTTGGCTCCATGGTCTGCCTCCTAATGTTTACATTGATATTTTCTGGCATGTGGTTGCTTGAGATTTAGTGGATTTTTGGCAGGCCTAATCAAATTGAACATTAGACACATCAGTTGATGTTTGCGTGCTCTATTCTCGAAAGAGTTTGTCATGGAGATTTATCCAGTCAGATACCCATATATTTTGTTTCATCCCTGGGCTATATGGTCTACCTCCTAATTTTAGATTACAGCTTTAAGGATGTGGTTGCTTGAGATTTAGTGGGTTTTTGGCAGACCTAACCAAATTGAATATTAGAGACATCTGGTTATGGTTGCGTGGTTTGTTCTGGAGCTATCTTGATTATGTGGAAAAATGAGGTGAGTCATTACCTATTACATTAGATGATGAAAATTTGCAGTTATTTGGATTCTTCTCTTTTGAGTAAGAATTCACTGCCATATCAAGCACATTTTTATCCTTCTAAATGCTTGGTCATAAAGATTGCTTAAATTATAATACCTTTAGCAAGTAGGTTTTTTATTTCCAGACAAACTAAAGCCTAACACACTCGGACCTTTTTGTTGTTTGATCATGATTTGCCTGCTTGTTTTGGATCCCTTCTGAAATGTTGTGTGGATTTAATTCGAAAGGTTTAGTCTTCTTCTATATGCAAAATTTATGTGGTAATGTTGTGTGGCAGATATTTCTATACACTTTGTGTTTTCTTGTTCTATTCTTCAAGAACCAGATATGTTCAATGTTGAAAAGGTACTCAGTTTAAAGCTTTCAACTTAGATTCTCTTAGCAAGTTAGATGTTGTAATGTTAATATGTAGCTAAATTTTAATTTGACGTGACACAATTTATATCAAAATTGGGGTAAAATTATCAGTGAGAATAGGTTGTGGGTAAAACCATATTTTGCTTGGTCAAGCACTTTACATTGTTTATTGTTTAAGGAAGAAAGTCATGGAATAGGACTAAAATCGAAATAAAGCTTGATTGCTTAACGTTAGGCGCTATTGCTGCACAATGGTTGAAGTGTTGGCATGTCATTTAGAGTGAGAGATGGGGTCTAGTGTTAAAGTCTTATTGCTAACAATCAAAAAGCTTGCTCAACGTCACCAATTGAAATCTATATTTCCTCACTGACAAGACGAAGTTTTAAGTGTTAATGATACCTTGGAGAGGTTCATTCAGCTTCCAAACAGCTTGTGTCTTGGCTGGATTTCAGCTTTCTTAAAGCTGTCTAGGGTACTCCCTCTGGGGGTGTAGGTACATGCAGACATTCACTTTTAAAAATCTGATACTCAAGCAATGTGAAACTGTGCTGAAGCTCATCACGGAGAATTTGAATGAAATAATGTGCCAGTAAAGTGTTTAGCTGACATTATTGTTGATGCATCATCTTCTTTTTGTGGACTGCTTTCATGAATCACTTATAGACAACACTCTTTTAGGTTTTCCCTTGTGCATGCTACATCCTATACTGCATATTTTCTCTTATGTAATATTCTGAAGAAAAATAATTTTGTATAATATTGCTGTCTGTGTTCTCTTCTATTTGTACAACTAATAGGATGCATCCGACTTTCTTTAGAATACCATAGAATTATATGATTCGAGTGAATGTGGATTTTGTGTTTGCCCTACACCATTACATCTTATTGGATTCCACCACCACCATTATTGAAATTCATTAGTGTTGCTTGCTTTCCAATATTTGTTTGTCAAATTGTGGCTTTTATGCAGATTGTGCTGGAAAGAGATACAGGACGTCCTCGTGGATTCGGGTTCGTAACCTTTGCAGACCGCCGGGGAATGGAATCTGCAATCAGGGAAATGCATGGAAGGGAGGTTGGTGATCGCATCATCTCAGTGAACAAGGCCCAACCCAAAATGGAGGGTGAGGATCCAGGCCATGGCTATAGTGGAGGTCACTCATCCCGTGGCAGGGGCAGCTATGGGGGAGGGGATAGGTCTGTAGCGCAGGATGAGTGCTTCAAGTGTGGGCGCCCAGGGCACTGGGCTCGAGATTGCCCATCAGGTGGTGGTGGCCGGGGCAGTCGTCCACTCTCCCCACGACCTAGGTTTGGTGGGACTGGCGGCCGTGCTGATCGGTATGGAGGCCGTGATCGATATGTGGATGATAGATTTGATGGTGGGCGTTATGGTGATAGGGATCGCTATGACAGCAGAGACACGTATGGGAGCCGTGATCGCAATGTTAATGACAGGTACCTTCATTAAAAATTAATGGCATCAAATTGATACCGATGGGATTTTAGCTTTTCTGGATCTATACAAACTGTTGCTGATGTTATTGGTTTGACCTTTAACAAATTCATTTTCTAGTATTTCAAAGTTAATTTTCTGGTACCTGGTCATAAGAGGAACTTTTGTGTAGAGAACAATATAATTGTGATGACTATTATTCGAATGTCTCTGTTCCAGATTGCAGATGACGGCCTTGTTATACTCTGATCTAAATGGCTGGCATTAATAGCTGTTCTGCAAACATGCAGGTACCCACCAAGCGGAGATCGTTTTGCAAGCGACAGGTATGGGGGTTCTGACCGTTACCCTCAAAATGGGTATGGCACAGGCTATGAAAGGGATGGAGGTCCAAGTGGGAGTAGTGACAGGTATGGCGGCGGAGGGCCAGCCCGGTATGAGGGAAAAAGCTTCAGGGACAGGCAAGGTCCTTATGACCGTCCTAGGAGGGTAGGGCACCCATCTTCATTTGAACGCTACTGAAGTCTTAATTGTTTCCGCTGTTGTTATACACCTTTTGGATGTTGCATATAAGCTGGGTATTTATGTTTTTGGCTATTTTTTGAATAGAGGATTGTGCACTTTGTAATGAGCTTGGGGATTTACAGATGCAAGTTAGCATGTTTGGTTTCCTCCTCTTATTCTTGGCTGGCATGAACTGCATATGGCTGTGGTTGACAGGGGATTAGATATTTGGGTTTTCTGCAACTAAATATCAAATGATTCGAATATTGCTTTTTTTTTTTTTTTTTTTGCACCTGATGTGTAAATATAGAACAGATAGGGTGAAATAAAGAAGGTTTACGTTGATGTTTGAGTGTGTGAGAGAGAAAGAGAGAGAGGAGCTTATACCAATATTTGGTTTAACAATTATACTATGTTAACATTTTCACATAATATAACGGTCCAAAGGTAAAAAGTGGCAAAATCTTATAGTTTTGCCGACATATTATCAACAGATGACAGTATTTGCGTCGGGTGCGTGGTAATTTGCCAAGATAAATTTCATGCACAAGTGTCGTCAAAATCATGGTTAGATAAAGGAATAATGCTAGGGAATGAATCTCAAATTTGAAATTTAAAAGGGTAAATTGCGTTAATAGTCCCTAAGAGTTATCTTATAGTACTTTAGTCCTTAAAATTTCAATTCATCAATTTAGTCTTCAAAGGCGCCATGACCTACCCCCTTGATGCGTCCAACTTCCACCGCCACCAAGAAGACTCCACCCTCCACCACGAGCGAGTCTACACCACTCCAACCCTATTTTTTTGCGTTTTTACCAAAAATCCACCACTGGAACAAACTATCTCAACCCCCAGTAAATCAAAATTTATTTTGATTTTGATTATTGATATAATTTTTGATGTCAATTTTCGATTTTGTGATTGGATTTTGGTTTAATTTGAATTGTTAGTTTTGAATTTTTGGTTGCGGTTGGTTGAATTGGGTGCCACTGGTTCTCACTAAATTTGTTTGATTTGGTATTTTCTAGTGTGGTGTGTGTTGTGTACATAAAGAAAGAGAATTGTAGTTTGAGAGTGTGTGTAAGTTGCGTACGTGATTGTGTGATTTGTGCACACGCGCATACTCACACACATATATATATATAACAAATTAGTTAATATGTTGAATTTTTATCGCCTATATATTTTTTTTCTCTAAAAAATATCACATTACTCAATTATATTATGTGTTCAATCAGTTAATATTTGATTAATTTATAGTTTAACATAATTTTTATTTTATACATTATTCATATACACACATTGAAAAAATTTTGTCTAGTTATGCATTTTGAGAAAATTGACACTATTTTTTTTAAAAAATAATAAGTAGAAATTAATTTTAAATAATATAAGCAAAGAAATTAATTTTAAATTTAGTATAGTGAGATTAATTTTTTAAATGCTAAAAATTTATGTTTTATTATGTCTTTAAGTACGAATTATATATATATATACAGAGAGAGAGAGAGAGAGAGAGAGAGAGAGAGAGAGAGAGAGAGAGAGAGAGAGAGAGAGAGAGAGAGAGAGAGGGGGTTATTGCGTGTTTGTACGAACATTGAGTGAAAGTTAGTGAATGATTTGCTGTGACCTGTGAGGGGGTGAGGGTGCATTGTGTGTCCGGAAAATATATAAGATTCACATTCTTATTTCTTATATTTGTGGTAGATGATGATATTAGGTCACAATGATAATTTTATAAAATAAAATATAGTGGAAGTAGTAGTATTTGGATCGAGATTTTAGTTGTTTTTTTTTGGGAGAATTACACTCAGACCTCCTGAGTGTTGAAATATTACACATAGATTTTCTGAGGTTTATACGCGCGTAACACTTAGACTTCTGCTGTAAATATATTCATTAATAAATTACACCTAAACCCTTTAAAATTTGTACACGTATAATACTTAAACTCCTTAAGTTTAAAATTTTATATTTAGACAAAAATATTTTAATTAAATATAGAATATCAAATATTTTAAATTTTACGACCAAAATTCATGTTCTATTGTATCATTTATTAAAATAAAATTAAAAATAAAAATTCAATTTTTTTAAAAAAATTATAATTAGTATACAATTATATTATCTATTAGAATAAAACAAAAAAAAAATCAAACAAATGGTCTAAGTCATTCAAAATATAACATGAATTTTACAACTTAATTTTATGTTCTATTATGCCATTTATTGAAATAAAATTAAAAAAAAATCGAATTTAAAAAAAAATCATAGTTAATATATAATTACACTATCTATTAGAATAAAACTAAAAAATTAATAAGGAATCAAACTGTAGTGGACACATTATCTTTTAAGTTTAATTGGGATAGTTTGATATTTTAATTTGGTCGTTTAAACAATCAAATTAAATTTTAATAGACAATATAATTGTATAATAATTACAATTTTTAAGAAAAAATTAAAATTTTATTTCAATAAATTATACAATATAACATGAGTTTTAATTGTAAAACTTAAAATATTTTATATTTTATATTTGATTGATGTATTTTTTTTCTAAGTATAACATTTTAAATTTAAGGCATCTAAGTAATATATGTTTACAAACTTTGGGAGATGTGAATATAATTTATTAACGAATATATTTACAGCAGAGGATTAAGTGTTACTCGCGTACAAATTTTAAGAGGTCTGTATCTAATATTCAAAATTTTAAGAAATTTAAGTGATTAAGTGACAAATCTTAAAAGGTCTAAGTATAATTCTCTCATTTTTGTTTTTTCGAGTACTTCGGAAAAGAAAAGATATAAAAAGGGAACCATTACGGCAGCGATGCTGGCAGCATCTGCTTGCAGCATATTCTTCACCCTATTGAGTGTTTCTCTTAAAACAATCATTTTCTCCGGTTGTTGTTCCCCTAAGTTAGCCAAAACATCCGCGCATTGACTTCCCTCACGAAGAGCACGTTGAATGTGGCTTCTGCACTTTTCAAGTTACTCTTTGCAATTCCCAATCAGAGCTAGAAACGGGTGGTGAAACTCAGAGGTTGGGAAAATGAGCATAAAAGCTTGCTGTGAGTCCGTTTCAATCACCACTTTCTGAAAACCTTCAGCATACAACAACTACAATCCAGCTAATAGGGCCCATAGTTCTGCTTCCAGGCTGCTGCATTGGGTGATTTTCCCCCAAAATCCTAGTATCCATTTTCCTTCATTATCTCTGATAAGACCTCCAATGCCAGCAGAGTCGGGATTTCCTTTTGAGCATCCATCAGTGTTCAATTTCATCCATCCTGTAGGAGGAAAATCCCATCCAATCAGTCTAGTTACAAATAAAAGTGTTTAGATTAGAGTGATCGAAAATGACTTAATCGCACTTAATTGTAGTCACATGTACTGCACGGTTAGTTCAAGAGNTGACTTAATCGCACTTAATTATAGTCACATGTACTGCACGTTATATTTTTTTGTAGATGATTTAGACAACGGTTAGTTCAAGAGACCACATTGGTCCAATACATAAATATGAAGGATTAAATTGATAAAATTAAAAAATTTAAGGACCAAAATATTATAAACAGTAAACTTTAATAACTATTAGTGCAATTTACCAAATGTAAAAATAAATATGCAGAAGAATATGAATACCCAACATTTTCAATGATATTTTGTCGCATCTTCTTGTAAAAATTGAGTATATTTAAGGACAAACAGCTTTACGTCGGTCGGTGTTACGTAAGACGACAACATTACAACATTTTTGTTTATTGTCTGAGGTGGAAGCATTTTAGGTATCAATCAATTTTCAAAATTAACAATAATAAATATATTTGCGGTATTTTATGTCGAAAACTCAATAATAATTTATTAATAAATAGTGACAACACAACAACAACAACAACATAATAATAATAATAATAACAACAACGACGACGACGATATGTCATTGTTATATTTAATATTTTCTCCGATCAATCAACACGATGGACCACGAACCACGAGGTCATGTATGAAAACTTGTGGTGGACGATGTGTCTCAAATTGCACAGAGCTCTCTAGATATGAAATCGTTCCAGGGTCGGCATATGAGTCCAAAAAATGTGAAATCAATACTACATATTGTTTCCCTATATGCAAAAAAAGAAAAAAAAACCTCTATGATGAACCTTAGAACCATTTATTTGCCTGTGAGAAAAAAAAAGCTTATATTTTACAGATGATCTAATTATGATCAAATCTAATTTATTTATATATTTTTATATAAATATTGAAAAAATTAAGTGATTATTTTTTTTTTAAAAAAAAATTAGTTGAAATTTAGGGTAAATTACACTGAAGGTCCCTAAAGTATAAAATTTCTCTCATTTTGGTTCATGAAGTATTAAATATGTTACTATGTGATTCTTTAAGCGGATAACGTCCAAATTGTTAACAATATTTTTATTATAAAATTATCACGTTATACGTAAATATGGACAAAGAAATAATTAGATAACTCTTAATCAAATTTATACCCAAATTTTGGTTAAATAGTTACACAAATTATATTGTTTTGATCATGATTTATCCAAATTTTTGTCAAGAACTACCTATATTACACATTTTTTTTCAATAGCTACTCAAATTATTTTTTGTCTAATTTATGATATACGTGATAAATTTATGATAAAAAAAATTGTTATCAATTTAGATGTTATCTGTTTGAAGGACTATATAAAAATGTATTTAATATTTTAGAGACTAAAATGATACAATTGATGGGATATTTTTGGAATACTCCAAGATGAAGACACGTGTCATCGGTGTCACTGATCCTTGTTTATCGANGGGCTCAGTGATTAGCAATGTAATGTTTGTTTGGGTCATGTTTCAGCAATACTTCCTGATGGGACATTTCCGAAATACTCAAATATAAAGACACGTGTCTTCGGTGTCATTAATCCTTGTTACCGAGATTACGTACCCATCGGGGTCACGAGTCCCATCTCTCCCGAGGTACTGATTATAGGGATTGAGTGACATCCAATACATTTTTATGTACCGACACGTATCCTCGGTCTGATATGGTACATCGGTCGCTAGGCTCCCCCTCTCGGNGTGACATCCAATACATTTTTATGTACCGACACGTATCCTCGGTCTGATATGGTACATCGGTCGCTAGGCTCCCCCTCTCGGCTCCGAGATGTTCCTCTTCCTCGGTTCGAGATGTACCTATTCCTCGGCTCTGAGATGTACCTCTTCCTCGGTACCGAGATGTACCCCCTCGTCTAGGATGCGGTTCTCTGCTCCAGCAGAGGCTATCGATATACAGGTCACTAGCCTAGGCTAGGCTAGGTTAGCTATCATGATCTCGTCTTACACANTGAAGTTCTCTGCTCCAACAGAGGTTATTGATGCACTGGTCACTAGCCTAGGCTACGCTAGGTTAGCTATCATGACATCGTCTTACACAATTGGTNTGCACTGGTCACTAGCCTAGGCTACGCTAGGTTAGCTATCATGACATCGTCTTACACAATTGGTGTCAGAAGGCAGGGGCCACAGCCAATGAGGAATGGACGCGTGACATATTGTGTCACATCAGAGACAGAAAGACCGCATGACCTTGCTGACACGCGACTTGGGAAAACAAGCATTTAATTACATCATTCTCTTGATGAGACTGCATTCAATGCGGTAAGACTCAGAAGTGAAAGACAATAAATGTCTCTAAGGCTGGACATTTATTGCATCCTCCCCGAGAGGAGCTCATTAAACCATCGGCAGGCCGATGACACAGACTTGACTGTTCGGGGTCCCGAGCAGTTAAGAGAGAAGACATTCCTCATAGGAATCGGTGCACACGTTGTCTGTATCTAATTATCACCTACTGACCACACTGACAACAATCATGAGTATTTGAGGTATAAATACTCATCACTAAAGACAAGAATGAGAGGTGAAACTTTTGCTACAAATTATACTCAGTGTTTTCTTATTCTTCTCTCTCAAAAACTGACTTGATCGTCGGAGGGGATACGTCGGAAAACACTCCGGCGCCCTTCTAACTTGTTCTTCTTTGTTTCAGGAACCTTTCTTCAGCCTTACTGAATCGTTCCTTTGATCCGCGAGGGTCTCCCATTACCGTTTCAGGTTACCACCGGATCTCACAGGCTGTTCCAAGCAGCGTGGTTGACCACTCAACTGACTCACTCGAGTTCACTAAGAAAGATATTTGTTCTCGTTTTTATATTGTGCAAGATCTNACCGGATCTCACAGGCTGTTCCAAGCAGCGTGGTTGACCACTCAACTGACTCACTCGAGTTCACTAAGAAAGATATTTGTTCTCGTTTTTATACTGTGCAAGATCTAGCACGCACAACAATATCCGCCGGAGAGCCAACGATTGAAGATCTGGACGGTTGGGTTGAACAACAAGTACTGTCTCAAGTTGTATGATTTTATAGCATGATCCAGCCAATAGAGGACTAATAGCTTCAGCGCAAGAGTAGTCCCATTACAAGTCGAAGAATCATCGTAATGTTATCGCCTCGGAGACTAGAATTTGTGACTATGTGGTCTGTCACTGGTTTCACCTACTAGGCCTTATTTTCTTTCTTTTTTTATTTAACGGTCAAAGGTATTTAAGTCAGTTTACGCACAATTCGATTAATTTCCTCTCCGATCAGATTACAAGCATACCATCCGCACAGAAACTAAGGTATTCATGCGGAATAAATCTCTCGAATAATGTTACATGAACTTAATAATTAAACTTGATAATTACAACAATTGATTTCACCATGTGTTCCATTATTTATTGAGATCCACTACCTATTGAATGCTTGTGATCATCAATTTTAATTTTTAACTCTAATATTTAAGTGCACGCAAAATTCCAAAGTGAGAAGTTATCAAAAATTTAAAAGTGATATCTCACATGTTTAAATTTATTGTTATTAAATGATTTAAAATTATTAAAAAAAAAAAAAGATTTAGGGGTAGAAGGGTACCAATGAATCTTTGGTCTAATGGTACTCCTTATTTTATAAAAATTTTACATTCTTGAGATTAAAGGTTCAAACCCCCTTCCCTTTTCCCCTCCCTCTCAAAAAAAAATGGGTAGAGGGGAGATTTTTCAAGCTTGTTGTCACCTAATTTGATTCTTATAATATACCTGCTCATAATTCGGTCATCTCACATACGCCATGTAATTATCAAGATAGAGTCGTGACAATAAGCAAGACAAATTCTAGAAGTAGTCTCTAAATTAAATACCTGAAAATTTTCATATAATAATAATAAAAATTGTGTTAGAGATTAGATAAGCATACCATTCTCCTTCCACATCTATATAAACTTAGTCAAGGTCATCTCAAATCTGCCTATATGTCGGGGTTAGTGCCTATATGTACAGTAGCTTAATTAAGGTGCAAGAGTCGGCAACCAAAACTAACTAAACAAGAAAATAGTATGGAACTAAAAAGTCGCATTTTATACTATAATTTTTTTTGTCCAATGAAAATCTAACACGTGTAAAAAATCTTGTTATTTAACTTTTTTTTTTTATTAGTGTTATGATCAAATGGTTAAAAATAATCAATGTGTAGTTTTTGGTATGATGTCGATTTTTTTTTGTTACAATAATAGTCCTATCTAAAGAAAATTGTAATAAATTCAAAGGAGTAATTCAAGTGGTAAAATTTGAATCTTGATAATTTTTTGGGGTTAAACCATGAGAGATTTATCTTTAATGAATATTCGAGTTTTGGTATGGATGACCTACTTTTAATCGGACGACAAAAAAAATTAGTTGAGGTATGCATAAGCTGATGTCCACACTCACACCATTGGAAAAAAAAAAAAAAAGAGAGAAGAAAATTAAACCCACGTGGGGCTGTAGTGTGTATTCANAAAAAAAAGAGAGAAGAAAATTAAACCCACGTGGGGCAGTAGTGTGTATTCGTTGAATTCAACTGTGTAAACATATTGACTGAATCGTTGGAAAAAAAAACATATTGACCGAGAAAAGTTGAGTTGCTTAGGGGAAATGGAGTATGGATAAGTGCTTGACTTGCTTTGCTCTGATCTTTTTGGGTTTTTCTGCCTTGTCTTTGATATTCTTTAATACTTTTCAAAAGCAAAACATTTGAATATAGAGCGCCTTAAGTTGGTGGTCATTGACTGAGATGGTGATCATACGCCCAACTTTTCTGCCGCATGATGCAAGTAGACTAAGGATTCCAAAGACTTTATGCCCTTTTTAATATAATTTCTTTGATCATGCTTATATATTTTCCTTTGAAGTTTCAACAAGTGTCACTATACCACCGACTAGGGTATTTCTGTGAGATATTTGTCAAATTTCTAATCTTAAAATTAAAAATTTTAGTTTTGGAGTCCATATTGAAACTCGGTGGTAGACAATTATGTTAGTCTAGCTAGATTCATTTGTAAGAGGAGTAACGGATACGGTCAAAAGTCTCATGATCCCACAAGGTCTATCAGAGTGGTCTTTGAGTACTTTCCTATGTTCCACCCCTTTTTTGATGAGGAAAAAAAGGCTAGTGTCTCTATAAGTATGTGTATGTGTGTGAGAGAGAGAGAGAAAGAGATGATCACTAATTTCAAAAGTTAGGAGATCCATCACAAGAATTTTCAGAGGATAAGCCTATCATACCTAAAAAAAAAAATGTGAGCATTATACCAAAATTTCTTGAGAACTATAGATATTAGTTTGATTGATTTATAAATATTAATTATAAAAATATTAAATATAATTTTATACGTATTAAAATTTTATTGAATGAAAAATAGAGATAATACTGTACCTAGACCCTTTTTCGAAAACAAAATTTTTTAGCTGGTGTGAAAGAAACATTATAAATGTTGAAAACGTAAATGTGATAAATCTCATTTTTATGCTTTTTTAAACGTTTGGACATGGATATTCTTCAACTTTCATCTAGAAATTCAATGCTTGTCCTTTTCTGTGGGGTTACTATAATTTTTTGTCCAAGTTGCCATTGTTGTCCAAGTTGCTATATAACAACCACTGATTTATGGCTGTGGAGAGAGAGAGAGAGAGAGAAANCTTTTCCGTGGGGTTACTATAATTTTTTGGCCAAGTTGCCATTGTTGTCCAAGTCAACCACTGATTTATGGCTGTGGAGAGAGAGAGAGAGAGTTGAGTA